TATCGTAAAGTACTATGAAGATATTGGATCCATCTATCTAAATTTTAGCTGTAGGTCATATTTGTACCTCCTAAATTATTCACTATATATGAATCCAGTTGTTAAAGATCAAACAGATTGTGTAGGTAATTGCTTGGAGACGTTGTAGGTCTTTATTTACCGACATCAGAAATTCATGAGGGGGTAGAATATGAAATTAAGTAGTTAGGAGGGCGGAGGCGGTGTTTCGCTTCCTGTGCGGCTAATCTTTGTGCTTATTACACCAAAGTATTCACTATTTTACCGTAGGGAAATAACTTCAGCTCTGTATTAAGATAAATATGAGAGAAACGCAGGCCAATAATCTAGTGCTGTATTCGATCCACCTTGTTGTATTCGTCGTAAGCTTATCCCTTGGCAAACTATCCTTTCGCACGAGATCGTTAGTTTGTAGTATGCGTCATTCAAATATGGAGGCACATATATATGTCTGTAGGGCTTTGGGCTCTGTGTTTTTTGCTATAACGTGACTTGCATGAGTCCAGTGTAACTCGGCAGGGTTCCACGGCGATGTGCTGAGAAACTGCGGCAGCCATCGCGTGGGTCGTGGTCTGGACTTCCGGGAGGGAATTCACTTTTATTCCGCGTCTTACCGCGACGTGCGCGCCGAATATCAATCCTCGCCTTCTCGTGGGAGCTCTGGGTTTATCTGACGGGGTTAGCATCAAGCTGTGAGCCGGCGTTCTCGAACACGGGAGCACGGGAGTGTGGCTAGCTGGCAAATCTTCCAGAGATGACTTCTTGATCCATCTTTTTACACGCCCCAATGTGATGAAATGCCGTCCCCTCCTGTGGGTATTTGTGGATATTTAGCGACATCAGAGCGAGCTGAGTGTTGCAGTGCATCTTCGTGACGGGCCGGTGGATCAGCAACAGTTGTGCCGTCTCCTCCGTCCGGTTGCCGGCGTTTCATCACCATTTCTCGCCCGTCCGCCCACGGGATTTTTAACCGCGTAAAACCCTTATGAAATATTCCCCGATGGACGCCGAGAATTCCGGAGGATGGATGGCGTAGGACTGGGGATAACCTTCGCAGGAGTTGCTGAGAAAATCGTGGACATCCTCCTCTGCGCTTCTGTGGTATCTATTCCAAAGCTGCTTTTTGCATTTTGACATGTGTAGGCTGATATATATACACACAGTGCTGTGATAGATCACTATGATTATGCGTTATGCGTTTTATGAATGCGAAAGGAAGGAGTATTGTAAGGGGTACTTCCTGAATGGCGTCTGTGGGTTTAAATACCGGTTTTGTAATCGATACCAACTGTTGAATAACGGTTAGTGCTTGGCTTGGTGCTCTCCTTGGTGCTGAAAGCGTGGTACTGGTTGTTTTCTAGTATTTGGCGTGGTGTACTGGTTTTAGAACTGGGTATTCAGCGTGGTACTAGCTGTTGTTGCAGCGATTACAAAATGGATATTAAAAATGGATAGTCCAACTGTTGAATAACGGTTACTGTGTGACACGGTCCTCTCCTTGGTGCTGAAAGCGTGGTGCTAGTTGTTCTACTGTTTGGGAACTGGGTTTTCAGCGTGGTACTAGCTCTTTTGTCAGTGTTTTGAGAACTGGGTTTTTAACGTAGTACTAGCTGTTTTTGTAGTGTTTACGAACTGAAGTTTTAGCGTGGTACTGGCAAATTTTTCAAGTGTTTGCGAATTGAATAGTCAACTTGGTACGAGCTGTTTTTCTAGTGTTTGCAAACTGAGTATTCAACGTGGTACTAGCTGTTTGTATTGTGTTTGAGAACTGGGTTTTCAACGTAGTACTAGCTGTTTTTCTAGTGTTTGCAGACTGGGTATTCAGACTGGTACTGGCTGTTTTCCAGTATTTGCGAACTGGGTATTTAACTAGCTGTTTCTTTAGTGTTTGCGACATGGGAATTCATGTTTCCTTATCCCTAATCACTCCGCTTGCTTCGGTTACTTCGACTAAATCTACAATGATGCGCAGGGGATGTTGATATATAATAGGACGGGAGTCTTTGAGAATTCAACAGGTAGCGTGGAAATCCAAACCAGATAACGACTTTTATCCTGTATTCCGTGCACGTGTAACTCCGTGAAAAATCCACTTAATATCGTGCAACAAAATCTGGCAACGCCAGAATCCTTCTGCAGGGATTTGGCTACTTTCGATCGCTGAATAAATGCGTTGATACCTAGCTTATACCACATCATGGGTTCAACGTAAGCCTTATTACTTGCTTGATGTTTAGGTAGACAAACATGTTGCTTTCTTATTCATTCGCTTCTGCTTTATTAAACATTTGTTAATTTGTGTTTTATGTAAGGTGGTAGGATACCAATTTTGATTATTGTTATTTAATAATTATTTGCTGTTATCTATCATTACTACTATTTTTTATTACTATCATTATGATTTGTCAAATGTCGGAGGAAGATCCCGGACAAGCCATTAAGGCTTTTTATTGTCTCTCCTTTGTTTATTTTATTACTTTCTTTGATCATATATAAAAAAAATGTAATTTACAACAAAAATAATCGATGTAGATTTTTAAAGGGTGGATAATATAAGAATGCATTAATAGAAGAAAGTCATATATAAAATTATATAACACGTTCTAGTAAGCAAACAAAGGTATAAAAGGCTAATTTCACAATTGAACCCCACAGAGGTGTTTTGTATGATACAAAAGGAAACACGTAACGTTGTATGAATTAACTGCGTACATTGCTCTCACCTAGTTGCAATGATACTATAGAAAACTTGTAACATCACATGATTTTGCTCCTCTGAAAGCATTTCTATGCGTTTTCGACCTTCAATTCTAAACAAACAAGGTATAGAAGGCTTGTTTCACAACAGTGTTCTGTATGATACAAAGGCAAACATGATACGTTGCATGAAGTTACTGGGTACATTGCTCTCCCCTACTTGCAATGATACCATAGAAAACTTCAACATCACATGATTTTGCTTCTCTGAAAGCATTTCCGTGCGTCTACGACCTTCAATTCAGTCACGGCCCGACCTAATGTAGCGGACCGCTGGTTGAAATGGATTGATAATAGCAGCGGAATGAAATGATGATGGCTTTGAATGGACTCACCGAACCTCCTTGCTAAAGTAACCGTTCCTCATGGGCCCACGTAATGTGTGTAGGCGGCGGCTGACTTGTTTGACCTTGTGTACGGTGCGAATGTTACACCATGTCGAGTAAGGTACCATGTGTAATGACCCTACTTTATGGTGCCAGTAAGTGCTAATTCACATCTTTTACGTCCCTTGATGGATGTTATTTTTCCGCCTTGTGCTTGGGTGGGTCAAGGACCTTATTTTTCTGTAACTTTGGTCGTTTTGATGACTATTTTTTATTAAACGACATACAAAGTATAAGACCCAGTGGTGGCCAACTCTAGCACATTGTCAATTTTAGCCTCACTACTGACAAAGAAGAATACACCCAATAACAAATAACAAAACAGCAAATGGGAGTTTCAAACTACAAAAATAACGTGTAAAATGGATCATTCTGTAAAATTGAATGTTTTTGTAGACAGTTTTGAACATTGCATCAATTTAAAACCGTGAATATTTTTTTTAAACATGACTAGTTTTGTTGTTGTTAAGCTTGTTATCAGTTTCTTAATAGAGTTAAAGTTCTGGTAGTTGCCAGATTCTGGATCAATGCAGTAGTGAGTAACAACCTTTTAGATAAAGTTACTATTCTCGGAGGTTTGTTACGATGGTAATGCGCGAATGCCCCCATGGAATTACAGTCTTAAACATGTTATGGATGTTGACGCGGATTCTGTAGGGTATTTTTAGCGGCGTAGGCAGGGAGGTTTACAGGCATTACCTGTTTCTCCTGGGACATAACTGTCCAAGATGATGCATGGGCGGAAGTACGAAGTGTGTCATCTTGGAGTCTAGTTAAAGTGGGAGGCCGCAGGCTTTTTAGTCGTCCATTTCTGTTTTGTCTGTATAATTTGCAAAATTGTGCCCGAAGGCTAAATTGCATGCAAAGGGTAAAAGAAGTAAAGTAAAGCAATCGAGAACATACAACTACTGTCTGGTCAACTTATACTACTACAGTGTTTGCTATTTATTTATTTATTTATTGTTTGATTCAGGCAAAGCCCATAGACAACATAGACAACACAAAATACATAAATTTAAAAATACAATGTCTATACTTATAGTATTTTGCTTCTGCATATTGAGTGATCTCAGTAAAACATAATCTTATGGTGATCTGGTAAAAATGGAAAATGGAAAAACTGTGACAACTGTTTGAAATAATCTTTTTCTGTTCGTCTTGTAGTGAACACACAGACTAGTAAGATTGATTTCTTTTTCCACTGCAGTCATCGGACAATTTATATATATATAACAGCATGAAAGTTCATCTGAGTTAGTAAATTACATTATGAAAAACTTAAACTTTTCTCCAACTCAAAATTCGACTCACCAGAAATTTTTGACTGAATCACTCAGTCTTCCTCAGCTATCTGACCCAAATGCTGTGGACACGTGATTTTCCCACGTGTGACGTCAGCAAAGGGTCAAAGGTTGTCTGAAGTCGATATCGCCCCCCGTCCCGGTTAAGCGATGGTTGAAGTGCCCTGATGTATATGGCCTCTCTTGAAGTAATCCTGTTCGGTATCCAAGATTCTGACCCCTTCCAGATCCACTGTGTGTCCCGGTGACTCTATGTGGATGTGCTGTGACACCTCAGATGCAACAGAACTATATATATGTCATATCTTTTCAATCGCCATACACAGGGTTTGCCAAGCGCTTCCAAGTCTATTAGTGCTCAAAGAGTGCACTCTGTTTCCTATTAAAATTGACTGAAAGTAACCTACGTTCTTGTTATTCTGTGAAATACAATGAAGGCAATAGCTTCCCTCCTGTTCTAAATACCCAGCCATTACACTCGTGTTTCTCTGTCATATGTTTTTGCACGTTTACGAAAATCTCCGTTTTTATTTTTCAGAAACCGGCGGAATTCGGCGACATCCTCTTTTCCATCAGCTACCTGCCTACCGCAGAACGGCTAACTGTCGTGATCGTCAAGTGTCGTAATCTGGTCTGGGTGGATGAGAAGGACGATGCAGGTACGGGGCCGTTCTACGTTACTTACATTTTTTGTCCCTGTAAAAGTTGTGAGTCATTCTGTGTAGACAGCTCTACATATAACAGACAGTCATCGGTGAATAATCTCACATTTGAGTCAAGCTGATCTGGTAGGTCATTAATATACAAGAGGAATAGTAATGGTCACAGGATAGTTCCTTGTGGAACTCCTGACGCTACTCTAACTGGAGCCAAAGCCATATTGGGATGTTCTTACACACAACTAGTACTTCTCTCGCCTTGTTTATGTTTCGATAAGAAAGAAAAGAAAGTCAGCCCCAGTGATGAACCCAGACGAGGGGCGATACAAACTTTTGGGATTGTGTTCTCGGCGCAAAAGCGCCACCTACATGTGGTGGCGAGAAGCAGTACTCCAGTCGAAGGTCTGAGGAAGATGTCTGATTTGACATCGAAACATAAGCAAGGTGATAGAAGTACGGGTTTTGTATAAGAAAAACATGTATTCCCATGTACACTTCATGTCTTTTTATGTTTACCGAAAGAAAACCTATAGTTTTGCTACGTTTCCTCTTCTTCTTCTTCCGTTCCAAACACTGACCTCTGACCTGGCCAATGCCCTGATATGTTGACGTCTCTCACCATGGTAACTGGTGTTGGATTACATAATGTTGCAATTTTATAGTAGGAGGGATTTATACTCCTGTCTGACCATATACAGTATACGAATGTATTTGAGTAAGAATTAACAGAACACACCATATGCGAAGGTAAACATTATGCATTTGCTTTGCAAATGTTACCTTTCTACATCCTCTCCCTTTTCTCTCTTTCATTTTTGTTGGCTTACGTGAGAGTGCTATCGTGCCAATCCCACTCAAACGTAATGGATGTTATTCTTCAAACTGATCGTCACACGGCCCACGCAATTCCAACACCCACCCACTCCCTTCACATTTTCTACACCGAAATGACACTTATACCATTAGCCTGTCACAAAAGCGCATCCAAACGTAATTGATATAACCTAGGTGTTGAAAATGGTCAACTTACGTCTGTGTTATCCATCGTAGCCTACATATTTGGGAGTTTCTGGGTTATTCTCGCGCTTATCGAATGAAAGTATCTAATGTAGGTTGAGTATTGACGTCAAAAAACGCCCACAACTACTTGAATCTTATCATCAAAATAGCCTATTTCGGTCAGAGCTATGTAATTTTAAGATTATTGCTTGCCAAGCCGGCTTGTTACAAGACGTAATCTCTTCAGAAAAAGTTCGAAAGAAGAAGGCAGTTGACATTTTAATAAGCTAGGTGATACTGTTTATAGAACGATGTACCACCCAAAGTCGTATGCAAACTCTTTACTCAGGAAATTTGAAAGAAGGCCAGACAGATGACATTTTAGAAACCTATGCAACACTGTAGCTTGACAGGAAGATATGCCATCCAAAGCCGGCTTGTTAAAAGACGAACTCTCTGCTCAATAAGTTTGGAGGAAGGCCAGCAGACATTCTAGCAAGCTAGACAATACTGTTAACAGGAACAAAGACGTACTTTCTACTTAATATGTTGAGAAGAAGGCCAGCAGAAATTCTAGCAAGCTAGACGATACTGTTAACAGGAAAAAAGACGTACTTTCTACTTAATAAGTTGGGAAGAAGGCCAGCAGACATTCTAGCAAGCTAGACGATGCTGTTAACAGGGAAAAAGACAGACTTTCTACTCAATACGTTTGTGAAGAAAGCCAACATACATTCTAGCAAGCTAGACGATGCTGTTAACAGGGAAAAAGACGTACTTTCTACCCTATAAGTTTGTGAAGAAAGCCAACAGACATTCTAGCAAGCTAGACGATGCTGTTAACACGAAAAAAGACGTACTTTCTACTACAAATTTGGGAAGCAGGCCAACTTACGGTCCAGCAAGCTAGACGATGCTGTTAAGAGGAAAAAAGACAGACTTTCTACTTAATAAGTTTGGAAGAAGGCCAGACGACATTCTAACACCCTAGGTGATACTGTTGACAGGAAATATACCACCCATCTGTCTCCCACGTCTCTCTAATTACCCCGTCATTTTGGCGTTTAATTGGTCGGTCTACGTTCTCTGTAATTAACCCAATTAGTTTGTTTTTCAACCATTTCTCTTGGGGCTTGTCCTCAGAGCTTTGGCAAAAAATATCGAACCTACCTTTGGGCTTTTTTACTTTCATCTGAGAAAGCTCAACCTCGATTATTACAAGAGCGGTGACATGTAAAATTCATTAGTTCCATCAATTTTGTTCTTTATCGTCTCCCAGGCTGTTAATTTCAGTAGTAATATCCCCTCATGGCGTTTATATGACGGCAGTTGTAAGATTTGAGTAAAATTGGATCATATATCTAACTGAATCGTTAACATAGCTGTTTATATTGCGTTAGGTTTACTATGGAAATAATATGTGCTACATGTTGATGTTTCCATTTTTTAACGTTAATTTGAACACTTAAGCTCACCTGTGTTGGTAGTTATGTGTTATGTGTGACACAAAGAATTGTTCTCATCTAGAGCTTTCGACCAGTCACTCTGGTCTTCTTCAATAGACTGACCCAGTGAGACTTGTGCAACTGTTGACGTCACACTTCAGGGAAGTCACGTGACACAAGTCTCAATGGTTCAGTCTATTGAAGAAGGCCAGAATGACTGGTCGAAAGCTCTACGTGAGAACAGTTATTTGTGTTGTAACAAGCGCTTTAACTTTAAACACGTTAATTTGAATATTTCCATCTTCCCATATACGATATATCTAACTGGAACTTTTTTTTTAATCGTTAACATCTCTGCTTATTTTGCATTAGGTTCGCCATGGAAATAATATGTGCTACATGGTGATTTTTCCATGTTAACGTTAATTGTCTTCGTCAGAAGGGTATAAAATCAGTTTGCTTTATAGTGTGGGAGACTGGATTTAGCGGCATAACTCTTGAAGGCATGGTTCGATGTTGATGATTTTTGGCAGGCAAGTTACCGTTGAAGAGACCAGGGTCAAGTTTAAATATGGGCTTCATTAATTTGATGATTATTTCCATCTTCCCACAGACCCCTTTGTCAAGGTATACCTGCTGCAGAACGGCAAGAAGATCAGTAAGAAGAAGACGTCGGTCAAGAGAAGCGAGCGATGTCCCATCTACAACGAGGCCATGATCTTTAACGTTCCTGCAAATGCACTGCAGGTAAGGAAGAGAAGATCGTCTGTTTCTAGCGACAGTAAAGTTCATCTGTGTTTGTGTAAAAATAACTAACATGAGATTCAAGAGAGATTCAAGATCACTTTATTGAACATTGCAGTGTATCACTGAATTGCGTCCAATTTACACAGTTTAAAAACAATTCTATACATACAAACAGTATTTTACGTAATAAAATGCATTGACAATTTAAAAAGACGGTAGTTAAAATGGCAATGGTTAAAAAGACATTGCACATCTAAGAGTAGCCTGTGTATACACAAGCTCTCGGCTGGAGGTTAATGACCCCCACCCCAACCTAGGGCGGCGGCCGCCAGGAGCGCGATTTAGTCAGGCTAATCTAAGAGATGTCATCGAAAAGGCTTTAAAATTCTTTCAACACAAAAGCCGAGGGACACTCGTCCTCTGGTCTTTTTCTGAATAATCAAAGGCCTAGTTGCTCAAAATACGCAACTTTTTGGAAGTGTAACGTGTGCAAAGGGTCAAAGGTGGTTGAAAGTCGGTATCGACCCCCGTCCCTAGTCAAATTAAGTTTAATGTATGCTGATGGGAATAGGTCACATGTTGAAATGAAGTTGATCATAAATATGATCCATAATGATCTTTCTTCATTTTTGCACCTTAAACCGTTTCATGTCAAAGATGAAAACAAAACAAATTTTGAAGTACTAGTAATTACAGTGATGGTAACACGCGTTGACTACCGTACACTTTACTACTTAAAGATTTCAATGTAACAAAGGACAATGAAAACGTTCAAATTAAATGTTGTTCTTTTTTTCTCTTTTCTTGAAGACGATCAGCCTCCGTATCACCGTCTCGGAGCACACTCTGGAAGGGAAGACTCCCAGCATCGGTCACGTGATAGTGGGTCCAGCCTCGTCAGGTCTCGCGTTATCGCACTGGAACCAGATGATGACGTCACTAAGAAAGCCCGTTGCCATGTGGCATCCGCTCAGAAAATGATGACGTCATTGAGCGCATCGTAAGGCAAAGGTTTTAAGCTCCAGTTTAATGTCATCTTATCCGGATTTGTGCGATGTAACGTTACGGTGTCGTCGGAAACCGACCATTACGTGATTTTTGAGCGGAATATTCGTCATCAATCGTTGTGCCCGTAAACGTGTTACGTCACTTAAACTTGCCGTGTTACGTCACTGAAACTTGCCGTGGACGTCACCAAACTTGCCGTGTACGTCATCAAATTGCCCGGATGCTGCGCCTTCGTGAACGTTCCCAGACGTAGTTATAACCGGACTTAACGTGAACGTCAGAACTGTGTACGTGAACTGATGACGTGGGCATCACGCACGAGTTTTTTGATGTGACGTCCCCACTTCTTGTGCACAAGTGAATGTGACATGCGCACCTCATAGCACTCCAGAGAATCACAAAGTGCAATGCTGCAATAGAGTACTTAGTAGTACATAAAGAAATGTTTATTCCTGGTTTTCTTGTCTCTGTGCTCTATAGATGTATCAAGGTAACGTCATTTGTAAATAGTTCGTCAAAGTTCATGAAAAAAGCACAAGATCTTGGAATTAACACAGTATGAAACTTTTCAAAGAAATGGTAATAATGATATCTTAAGAAATACTCCTCATCATAGTTTTAAACATATTCCATAGGACTTTCTAGCGTGCAATGTTACCTTACTTTATCCCATATGTTTTCAATTGCAAGGAAATAATCACAAGGTAAATTTTTTTTTAAAAACCCGTGTTTAGTTTTAATGCCATTGGTATGACACAGACTAACATGCCATGACCAACATAATTTAGAAGTTACCAAGATGTCCTATTCTTTGTAACAATATTTTATCAAAACTTCCAACACTTATAGATAAAATAAATCATTCAACATGTTCGTACATAGGCGGAAACTTCTTAACATCAATGCTTACATACACCAATGGCGTCATTCTAAGGTTATATAGACTTCGACACTCTGAAGAAATGTTCTAACATACTAACTATACTTCTAACTGAACGGAGGTCTCCAATTCCTTTCATAACATTGGGGTGCAAAACATGTGAATAGAGGAACGTCAAGTACAGTCAGCGACGTATATTTTCTGAAAAAAAAACTGGGAGGTTGCAGGTGCGTTTGCACGTTTTCTACCTAAGACTTCTGTTATCGTGCCGAAGACATTCCAAGTTTTCTTGAAGTGACTAAGACTAACAGTGTACAACTTTGCACTCCTTGAAGTGTTCAAACAAGACTAAGATGTAACAGATCCAAATATCAAGCTTTTGTACAATCAACTGACTTCAACCAATTGTTGCATTGTGTGAGGTATTGAGATATCAAACATTGTAGTAACTGAGAAGCCAGTTCAAACCCTTATCTATCCGTCCACTGTACTATCAACTTGCGTATTTGTTGGATGTATAGTGGTGCAAACGGTTCTCGAATTTACTGCCGTCTAGCGAAAGTTGTACGAACTGCAGTTGTTCATCTCTGTACTGTACAGGTCTTGGTATTTGAACGTTGAGTATAGATGAACAGTCAAAGAACTCGACTGTGAAATGTGTAGATAGTCAAAATGCACTTGACAATGATTCAACTGTCGTTTAATCTTACATGAGTTTTGGTGACTTTATGAAAATATACGTTGTAATTGTTAGTTTGCACCTAGAATTACCAATTGACGTACTGATATACATAATAGGACGCTAAAACTTCGTAATCTAATAGTCAGAAGTTATAGTTATAAGGTATGAGATTTATGTTTTTGCTCTGTATTCTCCCATCAGTATATATTGTGTACATGCCGTATTGACTTCTGTTTAATTTTTATCTGCAAGTTCGGAGTCAAATACTCGGGTATTTCTCACAAAACAGCATGAAGCTTGTTCCTACTGAATGTTTAGTGACTGTGAGTATACAATCGCCGTTTAACTCCATAACATGTATTTATATTGCAAAAGGAATGTCCTATTTTCGTGAAGAGATATAAAAACTATCTATCCTAGAGAAAAAAATACTATTATATTATCAGTGTGGTTGTATGAAAACTTACATATACATCGGTGTAATATATATATAAATATATATATATTAATATACATTGTGTTTGACAAATAAATGTTAACAGTGATCATGGAAATCAACGTTTCTTGTACATTTATTGTCTGTAGAACATTTTTCAACATTGAACTGGTTTAGTAGACGGAAAAGAATTGATGTTTACATGATGAACATTCATGTAGGTGGCGCTTTTGTGGATGTGGCATGAGCTCTACCCCTGAACTGAAAAATCGATCTTTTTCACGCGAATGCTTGTTTTGAAAAGTCTTTTCGGTCATTATGAATGTGTGTGAAAACTCCCGGACCTATGTGACCAAGTGTTCTTTGCCTTCAATGCTTTGAAGATTGTTGCAGTTTATGAAACGTAAGTACATACCCAATTAGAGCCTCATCTGCAGTACCGCTCACGACCGTTTCCAGAAAAGTCACACCAAGTCTATCAAAAATCAGAAACATCCGCTCATCTTTGCAAGAGTACCACTCTTCACAGAGAAATTGACGAACACAAAAGGCTCCCTACAACAAAATGGGCACAAAGATTTCGTTTTGTGGTGAATGATTGTACTTTACTGTAAGTGGATGGCGTTCAGCACCAAGGACAGGCTAGGTGCATTTTTCTGTGTGTGGATGGCGTTCAGCACCAAGGACAGGCTAGGTGTATTTTGCTGTATGTGAATGGTGTGTTTTCCTGTGTGTGGATGGTGTGTTTTCCTGTGTGTGGATGGTGTGTTTTCCTGTGTGTGGATGGTGTGTTTTCCTGTGTTTGTCAGCTCTTAAGACAGATACGTCTACCTGTCGGTGGATGGTTTTCAGAACAATGGAAACACGAACTTGAAACACCTCAAAAACTTCGGTCTCTTTGCTGCCGCGAAACTAATAACGTTACCGCGAAAAGGAATGAGTTTACAGAACGAAAATGGGACAAAAGTTCTCGTTCCATAGAGTCTTACAAATCCATATCGGACATGGTGGATTTTTAAGCCCCTTAAAAATTATTTCTAAGATTGAAGTTGTCTTCGTAATTAGATCAACAGCATCACATTAATTAGGCACGGCTGTTCTGAACACCTGTGTATAACACATTTGGTACGGTCCATTCAAGATGGCCGTTCTTTCAAGCGACGGGGATACTTTGTGATAATTTTTTGCAACTTTTCCGGTACTTTTTCTAGTTTCTGTTGGTAGAATTTCTTTTTAAAGAGTGCAGCAAGACTTTGGAAAGTTTTCGCGGTGGATTCGTGCCGTTCTCGTGACGTTTTGAGGAGAAAATGCGGATTTCTTGACGTGGTCAAATTTTGGAGAAGACAAAATGGCGAGGTGCAGTTGGGCATGGAAGGAGTGGCGTGGTTCTGAGACGACATCCCTTGTCTTTACAGGTAAACCAACTAATTATTTGGCTGAAATTATTCTCTAGCAACTAGTAAAAACATGTTAGGTTGTATTCCTTGAGAAACGAAGAAGCTCAGTAAGTTCTGAGCGACCATTCCTGATGTAAGACCGTGAGGTTTTAAAACTGTAATTTTTGCCGCGTTTTCTTGACCATTTTCCATGTGTTGTGTTCTTGTTGAGTAAAAAATGTATGCGCATGTCTTAGTTATAAACTATACGACGTTTTGAGTTTATATCGCAAAGAAATAACACCCTAACAAAAACTGTCTTTTGTTTCCACGTGGTTCAAAAAACACCCGTTGGAATGTGCACGTGTGTAGTATAATTTTGAATCCGCCAAATACTCAAGTATACAAGGCGTTTATGAAAAGAACGTAGCACAAAGCTTGCATTGTTTATATCATTAAAGTTTATTTCCCTTTTTACACTTCTAATGGTGCCCATGTGTAATACTACTAATAGCCAAGGTCCATCCATGCATGCTTGGCCCCAAAAATACAGCTTAACTAAGGCCATGTTGAGTTGATTATATGGGTAACATCCTCTGGGAATCCCAAAACTGATGCGAGCATGCGAATAAAAAAAAATGTTGAAAAAAAATTGCTTTCATTATAAAAATCTAATAATAGTATGTGGTCATGAAGGTTGAACAAATGAACACAATATGGTATGGCAAATAATCTACTCTTCAAATTCATTTCTTTACATTTTCATCTTTCTCGTTTGATTTTGGCATTCTATGATATTGGTATCGTTTTCCAATATTTGTTTGGAACTTACAGTATATAATTTTGCAACTGTTTTGAAGATTTACAGTATGGTCTAAAACTTTTTGTTTTATTTTTTGGGATGTCTGACTGTGTTTCATATGCAGGTGGGTCGCTGACTTCCAAACATGTTTATTTACAAGTTTTTTTGTATTGCACATATGTACATCTCCAGTTGAAGTGGTTTCATTTGGTTGTGGTTTCTATCCTGGTTTTACGTGGTCACTTGGTGCAGTTTTGGTCAATGTGTTTGTCAGTTTAATTTTTTTTCAAAGTAAAGACATTGAAAGAATTTGCAAAATATCTTTATAGAAGAACTCTGTGATTTTACCAAGACCATATTGTTTTTAAATATACCTCAAAATCAAAGAAATCTGTTAAACCCACTGTGAGTTAATTACAGCTGCAAAACAACCAAAACAACGTTAACCTTACCGCAGATGTGTCTCCTTTCCCTGATGTTTTTGTACATTCATATGCAGGGGTCGAAATACCCCTCTGTGTGCAACTTGGTGCAAGAGTAGAGTAGAGTAGATCTTTCGTCTCGGTAGGAAGTTCTCTTCCACTTTGAGCCGCTCCTTGTAGTTTACTGCGTTACGTGAGACATGGTCAACTTGTGGGGGTTGTACACTACTGGATGGCTAAGTCTCATGTGTTTGTCCAGTCTATTTTTAAAACTGTTCACACTTGGGGCTGTTACCACCTCCTCGCGTAGACTGTTCCACCATGTTACGACCCTGTTGCTGTAGAAAAACAGCCTTTTGTTGTTGTTCACTGATCTTTTGCTTAGGCATAAGCTGTTCCCTCTAATGTTCTTGTTTTTTCTTGCATTTTTTGTAGGCAACCCTCTGTGTCCAGCTTCCCATGAATGTATTTGTAGGTCATGATCATGTCCCCACGTATTCTTCTAAATACCAGTGTCGGGAGCCTAAGCACCTTGTCTCTCATTATATGGTAGATTGTTTAGACCAGGCACCCTTTTGCTTGCCCTTCTTTGTACATTTTCTATTTGATCGGCCTGCTTCCATTGGTGTGGGGACCAAACTGGTGCACCGTATTCAAGGTGTGGTCGAATCAATGACTTGTATAGTAGTAAGAAGACTTCTGTGTCGATGTACTCAAAAGTCCACCATAGAAGACCTGTGAGCTGGTTGACCTTTGCTGTCATTTTTGCAATATGCTTTTCAAAACTCAAGTCCCGGTCAACTATGATCCCAAGGTCTTTCTCTTCCGTGGTAAACTTTAATGGTATCAGACCAGATTTGCCCTTCATTGTGTACGTATATGGTGGATGTCCTGACCCAATCCTTTAGTACTGTACATTTGTCGGGATGAAAACACAACTGCCATTTAGTTGACCATGACTTCTAGTTTGTAGAGGTTCGCTTGGAGCTCTTCACAGTGCTTTTCTTGGGTCACAGGTGCAAGTAAATTTGGTGTTGTGCGACAAATTTTTTGCTGGTATGCACCGGTGCAAGTTAGCTTTATCCACTGTTAGTGTTACAACCTGTAGAAATATCCACTAAAGAACTGGAAAGGGAACAAATTCAAACAAATCAGAATCCATGAAGTTATTTCATTTTTTGTAATTAATAGAAGGTTATCTACTTCGGTTTAGTAGGTTAGTAGTGTAAGCAAATATTGGCTGCTATTAAAGTTTAACTACATGTACTTTTGGTTGTGTACCTACATGTATTATTTTTGGGGGTGCAACTATTTTTCTTCTGGTGCAAGTATTTTTTTTCATCTGCACCAGTGCAAGTTGGCCCCAAAATCTATTTTGACCCCTGATATGCATACCCATCAGACTATTTACGAGCAAACGAACACAGAAATACTAGTAGGTATTTAACATGATACATACATTTACAGGATTTCTAATACATACCTATGAAATGCACAGGACCCACCCCCCCCCCGATAAAAAAGTAATCTTCGCCAGCACTCTTCCAAAAAATAAACGTCATTCGCACCTAGAGGGTTGGCACAGGATCCAGCAGATGATATAACATTGGCCTTGTTGATTACATTTCATAAATCATAAAGTTAAAATAAATACAGATGTATTTTAACTCCATGGTGAAATGTATTGTTTTCTCTCATGTTTCTTCTCCTTCTTCTCCTGCTATTTTTAATTTCTTCACTTTTGGGCCAAATAACATGGAATTTGGTATGAAGGTAGAGTGGCCTCCATGTGTTTTTTTTTAATTTTTTAAAATTTTTTTATATAGGCTTTTAGAATGGTTTTCCATTTTCCATGGTATTTACCATGTATGGTATGCATGACCATATTTGGCACACATTTCCTACTTACTCATCAGGTGGGAGTAGTTTCTCCTTACTGATTGGCTACTGGGATAATGTGATCAAACTTAGGATAATCAAACAGATACAGGGTTGTATGGAACCTGGTAATCTCCAAGCAAATACAGGGTGAATGGGGAATTGAAGAAGAGTGGGTGAAATGTGCTGTATTTGCTCGAGAGCAAATGTTGGCCTTTCCAGTTCAATGACCTCCCATCATGCAATAAAGCTCCTTGGTTGATTGGACTTTAGTCTGGTGACCGGACTTTGACCCTTACATGTACATGTACCTCTGAGCCAGTCTGAAAGCGGGGACGCCATTATTCCAGTCGAGATCTCAAGATCCAGACTAATTCAACCTCTTCAAAACACAGGTAAATCTTAGACTAATTTAGAGATATTGGTAGCCTCTACCAGGCACCACGGATTGCTGGAAAAATAGTAGAAATTGGTCAAAAACGGGTCGCATATTGGATCCTCTTTGGCCGGCTAACTCCCCTGGTATACTTTATCCCTTTATTTTGGCTACTATTTTTCCAGCGATCCGCGGTGCCTGGTAGAGGCTATTAGATGGTGGGAGAATTTTGTGTACAGATGTGGGGTTGGAACCCACATAGTACGCCGTGCTACGACCGAGTTTTATAAATTATAAACGTCATCTTCCTTTTCGTCCTCTGCGGTCACCTGAACTTTGTGATCCATGTTGTTTTGGCTCAGGTACATCTTTCGCTGGACCCTCTAGTCGTCAATTTACATGTAGTAGAATACTAGTATCCATTTGTATGCGAAGAATTGACTTTTGGTACAAAGGTGCATAATGGCCTATGGATGATTCGTGAGATTCGAGAGATATTCGTGTAAAGAAGTTGGAAATGTGCACATGATCATTTTATGACTGGTAGGTACGTGACACCATTCAGAAATCAACGAAAATGTAACAATAGTAAAAAAAAACGTTGAACTTTATTCCAACACACAATTTACACAGAGATCAAATTTTCAGCGACCACTGTCGCCTTCATCAGGATAATTAATGACCAGTAACTTCACAACGTGATCTCGCGATTTTACTAATAAAAAAAAAGTACGATTACTATCAACACAGATGAACTTTCATAAAAATGTAACAAGTGAACGATAAAAATCGACAATAATTCATGAAATTAATAACAATAACATTCTGACTTCTAGGTGCATGTCTCTCACCATGGCAACTGACACACGGAAGCGCGTTGCCCTGGTAACAGGAGGCGGGAGCGGCATCGGTCGTGCCACGGCCGTCCGGTTTGCTGAGCTCGGGTACAGCTGTGTGGTGGCTGATATCGACGAGCCGAGCGCCAAGGAGACACTGGGCATGCTCCAAACTCCGGGGCTCGCCGTCCAAGTGGACGTTACCATGGCAACAAGCGTGGAAGCCATGGTAACCGCCGCGGTCCAGCACTTAGGGCGGATCGACTGCGCCTTCAACTGCGCCGGGATTGAATCAGCTCCCGCCAAAACCGCGGATCAGCAAGAAGACGAGTTTGACCGCGTCATGGGCGTGAACGCCAAGGGCGTGTGGCTGTGTCTGAAGTACGAGATCGCCCAGATGCTGCAGCAGGAGCCCGTCGTGAGTGACCCGGCGAAGTGGGCCGACAAGCCGGACGTGTGCCGCTTCCGCGGGGCGCGGGGCAGTATCGTCAACGCCAGCAGTCTGGCAGGTCTGGTCCCACTGGCGTACACGAGCCCCTACTGCGCGTCCAAGTTCGCCGTCCTTGGGCTGACCAAGACAGCCGCGGTGGAGTACGCCAAGGACGGGATTCGTGTCAACGCCGTCTGTCCAGGCCCCGTTGCTACTCCCATGGCAGATCGAGTGTTGGAACTGTCGCCACCAGATTTGCGGGCGAAGCAGGACCCGAAGCTTTTCCCTGTCGGTCGTTTCGCGGCGCCCGAGGAGGTTGCCGAGGCTGTGTGCTGGCTCTGCAGCGACGCCTGTCCCTTCACTACTGGAGAGCACCTGAAAATTTCGGGGGGGATATGAAGGGTGCAACACTGCTTCTCACCATGAGGCCTAGCAAAAAAAATGTTGTGTTTCCTGTTTCCCAACCAACCCTATAGAAAAAACTGCCAAGCCTAGTCTTTTTTTGGACAAGTCTAGGGTCCTGCAAGGGACATAATTTTTCGAGCAGATCAACCTTTTCTACTTCCATGATCTGACACTTGAGTGATAAAATGTTATACACTTAGTTTTCTAACATTGACATTAAAAATGCAAGTGTCCTCGTGCAAGTTTTACAAGTAATGTATAAGTTGGACCCCTATATAATATAGATATCAAGATATGTAAGAAAATGTCAAAGCAGGACATGTTTAAACACTTGATGTCATACAAGAACAAAATTTCAATGTACAGTAGACAAACTATGTAATTATGTTTCCAAATGTTTCAAAAAGAGAGAAGAAAGGGCAACTAACAGTAGATGATAGGTAGTTTATAGTATTATATTGTAATGTATAGATTCCTAGCACTTTGCATTAGAATATAGCTTACCAGTATGAAATACTCATGTTTTACATACTGGATATCCTCTTGTGCATTTAGCCCATCTGGGCAAGAACATGCAATAAAGATTCATATCATATCATATCATATCATTATCATATAGACTTCACACTGTATGCTCATTGAATAAATAAAATTACTCAATTTACTGAGATTTTTGTTCCCAGTGTGTTTGTTTGTTAGCTTGTGTGTCCATAATTATTTTGAAGAGTGTCAGGCCCTGGCACATGCCAAATTCATACTCAAAGAATGCTGAAATCAACTCAGGAAAAGAAGAAAATGTAAAGAAATGAGTTTACTATTATTCGCCATACCAATTACTCTTGTGTGTTTAGTCATTTGTTCAACCTTTATGACCACATAGATTTCATAATAAGGCCACACCAATTTAACTTCTTGGTTAACGGATTTTTCTACAAAAATAATGGAGCGGGCGGGCAATAAAAAATAAAAACAGGCCTAGGCATCGTATTATGGCCCAAAATGGCATGATAGGAGCCATGAAGTCAACACACCATGCTGGTTTAAAATTTAAACAGTGAATTTTGAACTTTAAATGATACCATTGCATTGAAAGATGGAATAACTGTAACAACTAGGATGAAAAGGACTGTTTTCAACTGTTCAGGGCAAAATATGAGCATTTTGCAGTTTATTTTGAATTCTTATTTTTATTTGCAAATCAGAAAAAAATGAAGCGGGCGAATCCGTTAACCAAGAAATAAAATTGGTGTGGCCTAAAAGAAACTTTTTTTTGCCAAATATTTTTTATTTGCACGCTCGCATCAGTTTTAAGGTTCCCAGAAGATTGTCTGTTGCGTTGTCTGTAAATACTTTTATCAGGCCACACCAATTTAATTTGTCAGTTCTCGGATATTTTTCAGAAAAAATATGAAGCGACAGGGCGAAAAAAATAAAAACAGGTCTAGGCATCCTATTATAACCCCAAATGCTATGATAGGGGCACTGATGAAGTAAACACAAAAGGCCGGTTAAAGTTAAACAATGAATTTTGAACTTTTAATCAAACCACTGCATTGATAGATGGAAAAACTGTAACAACTAGGAAGAAAAGGACTTCCCTCAACTGTTGGGGGCAAAATATGAGCATATTCGAGTTGGGTCTGTCAACACACTAAAAATCTTTATCCAGCACATCATGGATACGCGGGTAGATTATGTTATCTATGCCACAAATATGCCTCAACTAGTGCTAGTGTGGTTTTCCAGGCTAACTTTTCTTTCTACATAGTTAGGTGTATCCTGAAGAGCAGCAGTGCAGTTGTACCTGTCTCCACCTGAGACCTGACAAGATGAGGATACAGGAGTATCAGGTGAGAGAAATCTGCATTCTTCACTTTTCCGCTGGTTATTCAGTGTTACTGTGTGTAACATCTTTGCCCCAGACTAACCTTTCTTTCTATGTATACAATAGCCTAAGGTCTATCCTCTTTTGGCAAAGCAGATAGCAAACCTTGCTAGCGACAAGGGGAAGTGGAGGGGTCTTGCAGTTGCCTGCATTGCAGCCAACCGATGATTAGGTGTATCCTGAAGAGTAGCAGTGCAGTTGTACCTGTCTTCACCAGATGAGACCTGACAAGACACCACAGGATACTGAATTTTTTCAGTTGAGAGAAATCTGCATTGTTCAGTGTTGCTGTATGTAACTTCTTTGTCTCAGACTAACTTTTGTTTCTACATTAGGTGTATCCTGAAGAGTAGCAGTGCAGTTGTACCTGTCTCCACCAGATGAGACCTGACAAGACACCACAAGTGACAGGAGTACCAGGTGAGAGAAATCTGCATTCTTAACTTTTCTGCTGGTTATTCATCAGTGTTACTGTGTGTAACATCTTTGCCCCAGACTAACTTTTCTTTCTTTATTAGGTGTATCCTGAAGAGTAGCAGTACAGTTGTACCTGTCTCCACCAGATGAGACCTGACAAGACACCACAGGATACAGGAGTATCAGGTGAGAGAAATCTGCATTCTTCACTTTTCTATCAGTCATTTGTGTTAATAGTGATGTCTTTCTCTGGGCACGTAAACTTTGGCATGCTAGTGTAGGCAGACTTTGTACAAGCTACATACACCAACTGTGTGAGGATGCGGGTAGCCAGCACTATGGAGGACAGGGAGGGCTGGCAGAAAAGAGTAGTGTATATCCATGACACTCTCGAGATGATTTAGTGTTATATACCTATTTGCTCCACATAGGCGAGCACGTCGGCAAAACGTACTGCGCCCGTGCGAAACCTGTAACATATTGTACATAGCACTTCAGCTGAACGTCTCGTATACGGTCATATTCGTGCATATTAATTGTCCGTAGTTTCCAAATGTTATGTCGGAAAAGATATCCTCTGCAACAGGCAAAATTCTGATGCAACGTTGACCAAAAATCCAGCGACAACCGTGAAAATGGGGGGTTTGCACAGAGGCAGTACATTCTGCCAAGTTCTAGTTACATTGTAGATGTATCCTGAAGAGTAACAGTCAGATGAGCATCCTGATAGCCAGATGTGCAGGGATTCTTTTCGGATTGGTGCCAGTCGTAAACCTGACTTACTAGTACAGTATTATGTTTTAGTTAGGAGACCGCGGACTCAAAATCTTTCCAGACCAGTCTTTTAATGTTGAGAATAAACTACAGTTGAATGTGGTTTAGAATTCTAGCAGCAGTCGGTAACTGTCATAAACTTGCATGTCGTGTGACATAATTTCTTGTAAGGCAAATCGCTGTTTTCAATCCACTGACTTTTGTTCCTTTGTCTTCAAGATGCGGATACGGAGACTGGACTAAGCGGGAGGAAAAAACAGACTTTTTAGAATCGGCCGAGCTGTGTGAAAGAAGATGGGGAGGTGTGAGTATGTTTTCTTTATTAACACAAGGCAACACTCTACATGCCTTCAGGTGCACACACTTGCACTCACATTTCTCTCTTTGGCCCAGTTCAGCATGTCTTTTTTCCGAGAGGAGCCATTAAACGTTTTATCATAGCCAGCCATGTAAATTGCACAATAAGCATCACTGAAAATTCTTCATATCGTGTAGCTGAATGTGCCAAATTGCCCCCAAAATTGTCACTTTGGACCTTGCACTTAAATTCTCCAAACATGTAGTCGATTGAAATTTTCCTGCCATTTAATATCTTAGCCGTCAGCTACATGGTTATCCAAAATTCATGTTAAAATATTGTCACTGAAAAATTGCCCCCAAAATGCCCCAAAATTGTCGCTTGGACCTTTTAAACACGTTATAAAATCTCCGATACGTTTTCCTGCCAAAAACTCCAAACACAATTTGTTGTCAAAAAACTTGGTATCTTAACCAGCTCCTTAAAATCTAATCTCCTAAAACATACTTAGCTGGCCCTTTTAATTCTATATCACTAAAAGTAAAACATTCTTCGTATTGTATAGTTGAATGAACCAAATTGCCCCAACATTGTCCGTTGGACCTTTAATACACTTTTAAAATCTCCAAACACTTTTTCCCTGCCCAAAAACTATCATTAGCCGGCCGCTTTAATTGTACGTCACTGAAAATTCTTTGTTTTGTGTAGTTGAATGAGCCAAATTGTCCCAACTCTTGGACCTTTACACTTAAAATCTCCCAACATGTTTTCCCGCCTGAAAAACTACCTTAGCCGGCCACTTTAATTGTACGTCACTGAAAACCTTTGTTATGTGTAGTTGAATGTGCCAAATTGCCCCAAAATTGTTGCTTGGACCCTTTTAAAATCTCCTGCCAAAAAACTTAGTATTGTACCCGGCCCCTTAATGGCTTAAAATCCACATCACTAATGAGCCAAATTGCCCCAAAAATTGTCGTTTAGACCTTCACACTTAATAAAATTCCCGACCACGTTTTCCTGCCAAAAACTTAGTATCCTCTCCAGCCGCTTAAAAGCCACGTCACTTTTTTGTAGTTGAATGTGCCCAAAGTTTCCTTGGACTGTCACACTGTTCCCGCCAAAACTGATTAGGACCCTCACCTGTCTAATTAATTGGATTAACATTTTCCCGCCAAAAAACTTAGTATATGGAGCACTCTAACCTTGAACTTGTGCCCCCCTCCCCACTCTTCCTACCCACCTCCCACACTTCTTACACTACTCAGAGTATGTTAGTTACACTGTTCTCTCGACTTCTTCACACATGTAGTCACCACACTCTGCTACACAAACACTTGGTTGATCGAGTGCAGTTTTTCCACCACTTTGACTTAAGAATAATCTCTCGGACTCCTGGTCGGTCAATGCACTAAGTGTACTCCCCGGGGGATGTCTTTTCGGAGACATTGATGCTTCGACACATCAGTATACCAGTGCAATTGACTGACCAGGAGAGCGAGAGATTATTCTTAAGTCAAAGTAGTGGAAAAACTGCACTCGATCAAGTGTTGTGTAGCAGAGTGTGGTGACTACATGTGTGAAGAAGTCGAGAGAACAGTGTAACTAACATACTCTGAGTTG